CACCATTTGTAATAGCAAAGACTTGAAGTAATACAAATGCCCAATAGAGGAAATATTGAATAAACTCTGGCATAACTGCACACTGGAGTAAAATAAATGAGGGCTATACCTATAAATTACTATAATAATTTCCCTATAATTCCATAATATGGAATTATCACCAGGATATATTCAATGAAAAGAACTAGAATGGAGAGAATTTTATGCATCATCCTGCTTATCAAAGCAAGGGCTTTGAAAATATATGCTATTTTTAAAATAAATTTCAAAATAATCTATATTCTGGTTTCCTTTGGGAGGGGGAGGGAATAGGATGGAAATAGGACAGGAGATAGAAACAAGATTTCTTTGAATATACTTTTCCTGTAATTTAACTTGGAAATGATGCAAATATTACTCATAATTGTAAAGCAAAATAAATTTTATAATGATTTATAATAAATTTATAACAAAATCTTTTACAGATTTATAATAAAAGAAAAATTTTAAATCCCTGAAAGACAAAATGAAAATGAACTACATGATTCTGTGCATCTGAATAACTTTGAAACATTGCAATGTGAGTGTGTGTCCTTAGTGAGATGAACAACCAAAAGAATTGGAGTGGGGGAAGAAGAAAAATTGTAAACTCTTTCACTGGTCATATTATTGATGGTAACTTAGAAATTGTTATTGTGAGAATATTGTGTGTGAATCTTGGATAAGACAAGTGAGTAATTGTTAGTGTCATTGAGAAGTAGGATTTTCAGCTATAAGAAAAGAAATACACAAGAGGCTGGGGGTTCAAGCGGTAGAGTATCTGCCTAGAAAGCGCAAGGCAATGGATCCAAACCCCAGTGCCCCAGAAAAAAAGGAAAAGAAAATAAAATTCACAGCTATAAGGTCAATAAAGTTGAATAAAAGAACCTCGTCTTGCATTGTTTGCTGTGTGTGCACGTGCATGCATGCATGTGTGTGCATGGGTGGATGCATGTGGTATGTATTACAGTCTGTATGGTACCATTTCTCAAAACAAACAAAAACAGGATGGAGTGGGGAATGCCTGTAATCCTAGCATTAGGACGGTAGAAACAGGAGGATGACAAGGTCAAGGTCAGCCTTGGCTACGTAGCAAGACCCTGTCTCAAAACACAGAGCTGGGGCTGGGTGTCAGTGGCTCATGACTGTAATCCTAGCTGAGATCAGGAAAATCAAGTTTCAAGGACAGCCCAGGCAAATAGTTTAGAAGACCTCCATCTCCAAAATAACCAGAACAAAATGGCCTGGAGGTGTGGTTCAAGTGGTAGAACTCCTGCTTTGCAAGCATGAAGCCCTGAATTCAACCCCAGTCCCACCAAGAAAATACAAAACAGAAACAAAAATACAGGGCTGGGGATATAGCTTACTAGTAGAACACTTGCCTAAGATGCGCAAGGTCCTGGATTGGATTCCAGTACCACAAATTTTTTTGTAAAAATGTGATTCTGGGTCTGGGGAAGGAAATGTGCATGATAAATTTGGACTATGTTGTTACCAGGAAAGAAAAGTAGCTATCAAAGATTACTTAAATACTAACTAAGGTTAGGACTATTTGAGTATTATTGTTAATAGTCACAATGAATTACAAAACCTCAAAAATATTAACACTGAGAAAAGAAATTCACTGACTGCCTTTAAAGGATATCAGAGAACCAATTCATTGTCCTAGAAATTGGCAAATAAAGGTGAAGAACCAGAATATTATTGTGTTTTCTATTTGAACTTGACCTCAGGGTAACCACATATTCAATGAAAGGAAATTCTCTTTTTGAAAGCTTTACAAGTTAACAAACTATCATAAATTAATAGACCTCACTGGTGATTACCAATTGCTAATGTCAGTAGAAGAGATGAAGTCCCCAACACTATGAAGCAGTACACAAGAAAAAAAAGTGTATGTGTGTTGACTTAGAATCTCAAGTGTCCATGTTTCATGGGTGTAATCTGTGTAGTCACAGAACTCTGAGCTCAAAAAGGCTTTATGTTTGGTTTAATGCTCTGCTAGTCCCATCTTAAAATTTATAAAGGGGGTTCCACATGTTTATTTTGCACAAAACCCCGAAAATTATGTAGCATTGTCTACATATGGCTACCAGTGTACAGGAGATAAAAATGTAGTGGTTTAAAAAGATGTCTACACATTCTTTCATTCTTCTCCCTTTAAAAAGTGGAGTTTAATTCCTCTCTCCTGTGTATGGGCTCTACTTTGTGCTTTGCTCCTAATTAAAGGAGTGGATTGGTAACAATGGAGTGTGGCTTTCAAGAATAGATTATTAACAACAAGGTGGCATCTGCCTTGCTGACTCTCAGACCATTTGCACTGGGCAAATCAGCTGATGAATTGTGAGGAGACTCAAGCAGCTGTAGGCAGAGAGATACATGTGGGGAGGAACTAAGGCCTCCAGCCAAGAGCTACATGAGTGAGTCGTAGAGTGGCTATTTAGATCACTGAAACCCCAGCTTACAGTTTGAATGCAACCTTATAACAGATCCCGAGTCATAACCACTCAGCTAAGCCACTCTTGAATTCCTCGTCCACAGAAATTGTGAGGTGATATCATTGTTTTAATCTTCTGTTTTGAGGCAATTCACTACACAAAAATATATAACTCATAGAAGAAGAAACAGGTCACACATTAAATAATAGCATGGGGATACAATGGGCAAAATCCAGACAATGATAAATTCTATAGGAAAAGAATTCAGTACTTTCCATCAAAACAATTCAAAGAAAGAAATCCCATCATGGAAATCTTTTTTGGGGGGAATATAGATTCAAACAAACTGCTAAAAAAAATAAAGCTGGAGGAGGACAAAATAATATAAATACTGTCTGCATATTTAATCATATTGATAAATTGCTGATTTTTTAGAAAAGTGTGATGATGGTATTGCATTTATGTTTGAAAAGAAGAGTCCTTGACTTTCAGAGAAACATACTAAATATTTATAAATGTTACATCTGGAATTTGCTTCAAAATGCCTAGGGGAGGGAGGGAATTTGTGAGGAAACAGAAGTTCAGTATATAATACTCCATTTTTTGCTTGAAATTTCCCATTATGAAGGTAAAAAGAGAAAATATGCATTTACATTAACACACATAAACAAATTCCTTACCATTTAAGAGTAGGCTTAATAAAACCAAACAATTACAAGCAAGATGATAACTATAGGATTTCAACATTTTATTGTCCAATATAAAGTAGAAGTGACTTTTTGTGGTACTGGGGGTTGACCTCAGGGTCTTGGACTTGCTAGGCAGGCACTGTACCACTTGGGCCACACCACCAGCCCTAATGTATTTAAAAGTAAATGATAATTTTTAAGTGTCAAAATCAAAATATAGACTTCACATCACTAACTAATGCATCTATTTAAGAAAACTCACAGGCATGGAACTGATATCCTTGGCACAAATTATTTGAACCAATATCCCATAATAACCTCAGAGGTATTATGCTTTCTTTTTAATTGTTCAATTGAAATCATAATCATATTTAGTCACCAGATGGACTTTCTTCTTCACCTATTTCATCATGTTAGAAAAAGAGTGTAAATTAACACCTTATAATGACTCATGATAGACTTTTATCATCCACATAGGAAAGCAGTGAAGAGAAGGTTATGCTAACCATTTGATGGTAAAAGAGACGTAAACAGATGCTATTTGCAAGTCTCAGTGAACCAATGGCAATTACCACCTGTTCTGCTTCATCTCTCAGTGCTGTGCATGAAAAAGCCAAGACACAGAAAAACCATGCAGACAATAATCCTTACTGCAACAATTATATTTTGAATTCCTTCATTAAAAACACATCCCATACAAAGTAACACTAGAGTAACACAAAGAACATGCAATTGCATAACTGCCCTACACTAAGACCAGATGACCAGAGCAGGTTTGCGAGATCTCGCCCCCATTCTCTGCTTTCCTTCACAGATAGGAAGGAGGGGCTGTTTGCTTTGTGCACAGACTCTTAGGAAAAGAATCAGCACAGATATACTTCATTTTTTCTCATTCTTACCAATTCAGAATCTGTGGTAACTCACAGCTTCAGCTCAGCTGCAGATTTCATTAATGTGGTGAAGAAAGGATAGATCAAAGTACAAAATTGTGAAGATGGTTTGATTTTATATATATGGATTCCTCAAAACTATGCATAGATGAAAAAAACTAAAACCCTGAGGGGAAAAAATATTCCAATACACAATAATGGACCTAGATGACAGAACCACAGTTCTAGCTCCCTTTCTTCCTTTCTTCTTTTTCTTGGGGTTTAAAATATATTCTCCTTGAATATTATCTATTATTTAAAATGTGCAATTTATTATTTCTATATAAGATTTTTTAAAAGATTTATTAGCATAATGACAGGTTAAGAGATGTCCTTTATTTAAAATGTAAATACATTTTATCTACTAGAGCATCTCTGGAAGGCATACACTTAAAATCTGTGCCCAAGTTATTTCAAAGTATATGCTTCTATAAAAATGTAACTCAGACCAGCCTCTTCTCAGTATGAATTATTGATGTGTCATTGCAGACAGAGGCTATACATTTTCTACCAACATATCACAGAAACACTAAGACTTAATCAGTTTCATCTCATTAAAACTATCTGACTTTAAAACAAATGCTGGCAAAGATCTTCATACACTGTTGGTGGGAATGTCAGTTAGTCTAGGCACTACGGAAGTCAATATGGAGGGTCCTCAAGAAACTGAAATTAGATCCTGCGGTTCCATTCTTGGGCATATATCTGAGGGAATGTTAGTCAACATACAATAGCAATATCTGCACACTCATGTTTACAGCAGCACTATTCACAATAGCCAATCTATGGAATCAGCCCAGGTGTCCAACAATCAATCAACACACCCACACAATGAATTATTATTCAGCAATAAAGAATGAAATTACATCATCTTTAGGAAAATGGATATAACTAGAAATATCATGTTAAGTGAAATAAGCAAACTTCAGGAAAACAAATATGTGTTTTCACTCATCTGTGGAATCTACACCTAAGATAATTAGTATGACATATTTGTAAAAGGGGAAATGCTGGGAGGGGAACCAGGAGGGGGAGGGGGCAAGAAGAGAGTGATGGGGTGATCAAAGTCACATTTTATGTATCTATGAAAATAGCATAATGAAATCCACTGAAAACAGTGGGAAAAGGGTTAAAAAGAGTAATAAAGGAGGCTCATTTCATCAAAGTACATTATATGCATGTATGTAAATACCACGAAGAAACCCCTTCGTACAATTACTTTATGCTAATAAAATTTTTTAAAGAAAATAACTGTGATTTTACTAAAAAAAAATTTTTACTTACTGCAAGGTAGTTTCCACAACCATTTGTCATTTAATAACAACAATACAAATTTAAAAAGGACAAATCAGCTGCAAATAGAAAAACAATGAAAGAAAAACCAAAATAAGAAACCTGAAGTCACACTTAGGAATACTAAAATTTCCTTAAGTATCTTGTTAAAAAAATACAAAGGGAAAGAGAAAAAAGCCCAGTGTGTTCATAAAATTATCATGATGGTATATGAACTGTCAATGATGGGTCATATTTATCTAAAGTCAGAAACACTGTCTTCTTACAAATGGACTGTATACATGAGATGTCAAGAGATCCAACATTAGCTCTTCAGAAACACTGTCTTCTTACAAATGGACTGTATACATGAGATGTCAAGAGATCCAACATTAGCTCTTAATACCTTTCAAATAACTAACCTTTCAAATAACTACCCCCAGTCATACAGGGCTGTGAGTAATGGAGTCTCTTGGTTTGGGTTCCAGCCACATGTTATGGCTGATACCTGTTATGTCTAACTGGGATGACAGAAGGGAGGCAAGTGCTCCAGGACAGGAAATTCAGTGGAATAAAAAATACAATGGGTGCTATTAGGATGATCCTAGTTCACAGAAAAGCTTTAGCTATCCCTTTGGCTTACAGATTCTCTTTAAACTAAGTATTTGAATGGAGCCAGTGGGCTGAGCTTCCACTTGTTTTATATAGATGATGAATTAATGAAACTGGAAGCAAACAGTGTTAATTAATTTTACTGGTTATACCCCTAAATTCTGAGGTTTAACATAGTTGATCATAAATTTTAAGGTGGTCACATTAGTAGCAACTTCACTAGCTATTCGACTATTCCCCACCATTTAAAATCTTTCCCCCATAGCAGTGGGTACAACTGATAATAATTATGCTAGGAGCTCCTCTCTAACAAGGTATTTCTATGACTATTTGGGGAACACAAATAGGGGAATATACATTTGAGAATGCAGAGCAGTATAAAATGAAAGGCAAACTTTTAGATGAAATTTCTCAACTTCTTTGCATATAATTGAACCATCAAGATAGAGCTGTTAAATTCCAGAAGACATGTAGCCCAGGCTGGCTTGAAACTTGCAATCCTCCTGCCTTCACTTGTAAGTGCTGGGATTACAGGTATATTATTTATGACACATTTTGAGGACCAACATAATTACAGAAATTTAGGGAGTAACCAGTCAAAAGTATTCATGTCTTTAAGCTATAGCTCATGCAATTCTCAACTGGTCATGTGATGTAAATGCCACAGGCTGTAAGTCAAGAATTGTCACTGCCATAAGTGGTTGCGGGACACTTCCCTGGGAAGTAGGGTCTCCAGAAAGCCACACATCAAAAACACTTATTTGGTAAAAGGAAAAGAAATTAGAAGAATGTCCATGTCACTGTTATATCAAGTCACCAGAGAAAGATATGATAGGAGAGATCAGCAGAAATATAATTGAAAGAAAACCAGGGATCAAGGAAGGGTGAAATCTTAGCCTCTGCTATTAAAACTGGTGGTTTGTGTTCTGCTCTGGTAGTAGGAACCACCATTAGAGAACTATCAACTTTGGATTCTCCATGAGGCTCGCTGGGACATTAGAGTGGAGTTTTAAAGCACCACTGTGCACATAGGTAAGGCAAACACTCATGCTAACCAGATGATGGCATTCTGATCAGATGCTACCATCACAGCTTACCTACCTTGACATGCTTTTGGACTGCATTTCTCACCGAGTCCTTGCCATGAATCATAAAAATCATGTTTCAGCATAAAAAGTCTAAAAGATACACTGCATACAATAAGTATCACTGCTTAGTCAGCTTTTTGCTGCTGCAACAAAATACCTGAGACAATCAATTTAAAGGAGAGATAATTATTTTGGCTCATAGTTTTGGAGGTATCAGTCCAGGATTCATTGACCCTCTGATTTGGGGCCTATGATGAAGCAGTATATGATAGTGGGGAACAAGTGGTTAAGCAAAGCTGCTCACCAGAAAGCAAAGAAAGGGGAAGGAGCTGAGGGTCCCAATATCCCCTTCCAGAGCACAGCTCAATGACCTAACTTCCTTCCCTCCATTAAGCCCTACCTCCTAAAGTCTAGAGACAAATTTTAAGCATATGGATCTTTGTGGGGGAAGGGGGTAACACTCTAGATCCAAACTATAGCAATCACTTACAGTTTAAAATACCAAATTTTTTAATGTTTCTAAAATGCCATTGCAAGTTGAAAACCTAACATGAAAATGCATTTAATATATCTAACCTACTGCACATCATATCTTAGCAACAATGTATACTATAGAGTGCTGGCTATTTACCCTGTGGTCACATGGTTGGCTGGAGCTCACTGCCAATGCTTGGCATCACCAGATCTTAAAGAGAGTATCAATGCATTTCAATAGCCTGGGAAAAGACCAAAATTCAAAATTCAATTACAGTTTCTAGTGAATGCATAACACTTATGCACTATTGTAAGGTCAAAAAATCATTAGTCAGGAGGAGGTAAATCTAATTAAGACATATTGCAATCACATATATACCTGTCACAATGAATCCCCCCATACAACTATTATATGCTAATAAAAAATTTAAAAATCACCAGTCGAGGACCATCTGCATTGATTTTCAATCTTCAAAAACAAGAGCTCAATGATAACTTATGGTTAAGTGAGTTTTTATTAAATATTTGAATATGAACAAAATATATAAAAGATTCACTCTCATATTTAAACATTTTATATACATTTGACTCTACCAAAAAATTGTTATTATGATAAAAATCAGAGACTTACAATTTGAAAACCAAAAGTTACAGTATTTTTAAAATACTACATAGTACAGTTTGGGGATTTTTGTTAAACTTAGTATCAGAATCTCCACCTAGGTCCCAATATTGAACCTTATTTCTACCTGTACACATTCACACTCTGCCTCCACCCAACCAGGGCAGCTCATAACATGAAAAGCTCAATTATTCCTGTGAATCTTAGCAATGCTGCCCTCCTTTAGTCTACCACCATCATGCTTTTGTCAAACAGCAAAAGCCTATCAGAGACGGATAGAGTAGTGATCCGCTCCCATCTATTTTAACCACAGGATGCCAACAGAATGGAAGATTTGCCTCCTTTGGACCAATCTCTAGTTGTCTACTGTGACAGTAATTTCTCATACCTTTCTCTCAAAGCTAGTCTCTTATCAAACTTATTTGATCCTGTGTTTGGTTTTTCCTGACTCTAGAGTTAGATTCAGCAATAGCAAAATCCCATGAGGCCATGCCTCATTAACTTAGGATTCTAAGGTCTTTATTTCATGGACTGATTGAAGACCCTTCTAAATATTATGAAGGAAAAACAATACAATAGACCTGGCTATTGCTGCTTCATAGAAATAAAACTGCCCACTGAATCTGGAGTTGAATGGAGCCTGACTGCTGCATTTGATACTAAGTAACTCTGAAATGTGTACACTTTCTTTGAATATGGTGCCACAAAAATGCCCCTCTCAGTCTTCCTCATTAACATTCTAAAAGTGGTAAAATGCTCCTAAAACTGACCTCATGTTTATTTGTTTGGTTTTTGAAACTGAGCATATATTTTAGTTTAGATGTGCGCCTCTTCTTGCAAATTAAACATGAAGTACAGATTTGCCAAAGAACATAAAAGAGGGAACTAGGGGTGAGGGACCAGCAATACAACTGATTTTCAATATTATTTTTTTTTAGGTTTTAGCAAGTATTTATTTTAAGTTTCAGCAAGGAATAAAGTAGGGAGAAATGATGGGGGAGAGGGAGGAAGACTAGAGGAAAGGGGAGGTGGAGAAAGACAGAGACACACAGCGAGAAACAGTTCCTGTTTCTCCATTTCCCGTGTAGGAAATGGGAACAAGGACTCCAATTTTCTATATTAAAAAAAAAAAAAAAAGTTTCTCCTGAGTTTACATGCAAAAAGGCAATAGATAGCAAACCTTCATAAAAGTGACTGGACTAAGAGATGAAAATGGACCATGACAGGACAGGAAACTTTTTCTTTTATAATCATAAGTGATATTCAGCCTCAAATAAAATAATAATAATGAGGTCCAACAGCACAGTGTATGTACTTCCCTCCATTTTATGCATTCTATTCTTAGCTTCTAGCACCAGGTAAACATGAATCTTAGGCAGAAAAACACCATGTCTACCACTAGAAGCAGCACCACAGTTCATTAGCAGAATAAAGTAAAAAATGGTCAGGTAAACATTACAACTCACAGTGTACTGGAAATGAATCTGCAACAAAGTAGTACAAGTGAAGTTTATAGTTTTGTCTGTTTTGTTTTTTTTACTGAGAAGCTCAGTTGTAAACATTCATTTACTACTGCCCCCCAAAACATAACCAATCACACAAACAAAAATCATATTTTGTGACTATAAAATCATGAATAATTGCCAGTCCTTTGCTCTTTTTCTTGGTGGTTTCCAGAGTAAGAAACGAGCAGTGTTAAGTAGCTTCACTGATCTCGCCATCATGAATAGCTGCCAGTTCCGGAACCGCATTCATCTTCAGAACATCTTCGTAGAGCAAATAATTTTGTAGGCTTCTGGGAAGTGGCAACTGATGGATGACACCCTCAGAACGTAGGTGTTCTGGTTTCAGGATGGACCGAATTTCCAAACGACAAAGATGGGTTAGGCATGGAACAGAGGCTGGAAAAACAAACAAGAAAAGCAAGGTGAAAAAAAAATTTAATGGAAAGATATCACAGTACATTAAGGTACATGCCTGCTGTCTCAATGTAATAAGAAAAGTGCTACATTACTTAGATTCACTTTAAAAGAAAACTGCTTGTGCCAGGATGGCCAAATAAACCTTATTCATTCAGCCTTCACCTGGTTCCTCTCCTTCCACTTATTGCTCACAGGTTCAAAGTCAGTGTTTAGAGACAGAAGAACTAAATGTTCAGATTCTGAAGCTCTAAAGATGCTATTTGGCATTTAAGAAATGGAGGGACTAACTTTAGAAATGATACAAGTACACAACAGCAAACGCTACTTCCTTCTTAGTCTGCTTCACTGCAAATCGTCACCAGCCCCACATCAAGTGAATGGATGTGGAGCTTCAAGTTTTGCTGTTTATCTGTGACATACAATGAAATTTCAAAATTGGCAGAGACGAAGGGCATTTATTGAGTGCCTTCTACACCATGTGCCCATGTACCTCATGCATATTCTCTTTTCAATTTCATTAATCCTCGTAGGTATTTGTGGGTGCTGGGGATTGAACCCAGGGCTGTGTTCATGCTAAACACCACTGAGCTACACTCCCAGACCCTAAGGCATATATTATCATGTTATTATAAAAATAAGAAGGCACAGGTTTAAAAAGAAGTTTCAGGGCTGGTGGAGTGGCTCAAGTGGTAGAGTGCCTCCCTAGCAAGTGAGAAGTCCTGAGTTCAAATCCCAGTACCACCAAAAGAAAATAAAATTCTAAAAGTGAAAAGAAGTTTAAGTAAATTTCCAAAGGTCACAGAGCTAGTAAGTGGCAGAGCCAGAATTCAAACTCAGATCCATCTGACCCCCGAACGTCTGTGTGTGGGGACAGGTGTTTGCTAAAGCCACAGCAGCCAAAAACTAATTATCAACTAAAGGATGAGTCACATGGCGTGACTAAGAATCACATGACAGCAGCTTCATTTCTCAACATGAAAGATTTTAGCTAAAGAGGCTAATGTTCACGTAAACCAAGAGCACTAAAATAGCTAGTGCTTTTATGTGAATCAAACCTTTTGTTAGTGCAAGAAATCTTTTATAACTGTCTGAAATGTAGCAATGATAAATGGACTAGGATCAGAGCATCAAAGACAAGTACCATCAAGAGCACAGCTGATACCAGACCAGCTAGTCTGACTCCAAGTCTAGGGTTCTTTAAACTCTAATCCCCATGCAGCCTAAAGAAAACTAATTTTCTAACATCTTCACTATTTTCCACACCACTGAAGTTAACCCATCATCTTAAATTTTAGTTTAAGTTTAGGTTAATTAAAGTTTTAAAAACCTTGTCAAACTATAGTGTTTCAAAATGCCAAATAAAAAAGAAAAATAGTTACCTGATTTTGTGCCTAAAACCTGAGTCTAAGGAAAGATAGGCATTTTCTTAAACTAAAAGTTAGGGACCCTCTATTATAAATAAAATAGCTGGGAGTATAGCTCAAGTGGTAGAGGGCCTACCTAGCAAGTTTGAAGGCCTGAGTTCAAACCCTAGTAATGCCAAAAAAAAAAAAAAAGAGTAATAAATAATAAAATTACAGCAGCATCTATAGTGTTTAGTACCTTTATTTCCAAAGTAGTTTTATACCCATATATTGATAAATTTTAACCTTTTCCGTAAACTCAGAGGAATCACTGTTTGAATCTAGAATGTCCCCCAAAGTCCATATGTTAATGGTTCCATCCCCAGAGTGACACTATTAAAAGACAGTAGGAACTTCAGGAGTTGAGACCTACAGGAGGAGTTGAGACCACTGGAGGATGCCCTAGTAAAGGACTGTGGGAAGATGAATATCATCAAAGTATATCATATGTGTGTATGGAAATATCACAATGAATCTCCTCTACATTGTACTATTAATATGTGCTAATAAAAATGTGGAGAATAAAAAGGACTGTGGGAGTCTGGCCACTTCCTCTCTCTTTTGCTTCCTGGCCATGAGGTGAGTGGTTTTATTCTTCCACATTCCTGCCATGATGTGCTGCCTTGCCACAGGCTCAAAGGCAACAGGGCTAACCAATCATGGACAGGAACCTCCAAAACTGTAGGCACAAATGAGCACTTTCTCTTTATAAGTTAATTATCTCTGGTATTTGCTACAGTGATAGAAAGCTGACTAGCATACTGTTCTTAATTGTAAGATGAGAAAACAGCAAAGGGAACACTGGAGGAATGAGCAGGGGTATGTATGGAAAGCATGCTCAAACTGCAAATGCCACCATTTTTCAAAGGTGTGAAAAGGTTGACTATGTTCACCTATCAAACATAAGGAAGCTCTCCTCCCATGAAGATCAGGAACAATAACTGAACTGTTAATGGGAAGTCACCTGAAAGCAAATGATCAAACCATGCATACTTTCAACACTAATTCAGAGTTATTACATAGGGCAGAGTGCTTGCCTAGCATGTGAGAAGCCCTGGGTTCAATCCCTAGCATACAAAAATAAAGAAATAAATAAACAAAATAAAACAAAATGAATACATAAACCACATCCCTAATACATCATCGGCATTTGGCAGTTTCACTTTTTTAAGTTACAGCATGGACTTAAAGATATACATGAAGCAAGGTGAGTATATAACTTCTCTATACTTTTACTGTATTTTCATATCTTTCAGTTGTTTCACCCACATCTAATTCAACTTCTATTTCTGTTCAGTGTTCATCTTTATTAAGTCTTTTTAAGGCATTCAGCTGTAAGTCAGCTGCTATGGTATACACGTGTAGTTCCAGCTACTCCAGAGGCTTGGGCAGGATTGCTTTAAATCTAAGAGTTCAAGGCCAACCTAGGCAACTTAGCAAGAGCCCACCTCAAAAAGCAAACAAAAAAGAAGCATTAAACTGTGCCATAATAGAAACAATTATTTTCTTTTCACACTCATATTCACTGATTTATGCAATTTAAATTATTTAATTACAATAATATGCACAAATGTAATAAATTTTCAAAAACAAACACAGCTGATTTTTAGTAAGCATACAACTCAGTTGGTAGGGATAAGTATGCTGGCATTCTAGAGAACAGCTTACCAGCTGCAAACACTGAGCATGCCATGGGCACAGTCAGATGGGCTTGACAGAGGAAATGACAAGACTGGTAATCCAGTTGTCAGTGTTGGGTTAAAACAAAGAGAGTTAAGAGAATGTCCACTTATGTTCAGTTAGAGTTTAATATGTATCTGTCAAGTGAAATCTCTTTATTCTGCATGTTCTTGTAATGTGACTATTTTTTACATATCCAGAAGGAAGATAAAGGATGGCTGTGTAACCAATAGGAAAGCTGCCTACTCAGGAACACAGGATCCTAATGCTATCCCAGTTTCTTGGTTTGACATACTACATGGACTCAAAACTCCTGGGGCTGGCTGGGGAAGACTTCCTCTGGCTGGTCCTAGCCTCCTGCAGTGCTGACAAGCCTTCCCAGGTTAGCAGACTACACCACTGAAGCCCTATCTTTACAGCTTAATAAGGCATGTGTGTATGCTAGTATGTGTGTGGAAGCATAACTACATGTGACCAAGTTAGATTGGAGCAGTACATTTACAAGGGCAAGTTCACATGATTTGCCAACCTGACACCACATATCAACACCATAGCGCTCCTGTTAACTAGATCCAAATGATTTGACTCCAAGTCAAGGGTTTCAAAGCTGTGAAAAGCCCAAAATGTTTTTCTACATCTTCTAAACCACCAAAACTACCATAAGTTTCAGAAGATCTACTTATTGTTTTTTTAAAGGAAAGGTGTAGTTACTTCAAATATTAGTTCAAATTGTAATTTTGGTTTTCCTCCTGAGAGCATAATAGGTTGCTGGCTTAATGAACAACTAGAGGTATGAACTGTGTTCAACTGAACTGATACAGTCTTTCACCGGTATATTATTAGTATAGAAAATACTATACCCATTAGTGACATTTTAGTTTAAGATGCTAGTGACTACCAGGGGAATTTTATAACCATACACGCAATATTTCAAAGCACACAAAATTCCTATGAATGTTTTATGATGCACAGTATTTCCAGATATGTTGCCACTATGCTGATAAATCAAGATATTCCTTGAATGTATAATATAAAAAGGCCACAGAAGCTGTAGGTAAAGCACACTTTCAAGGAAACCTACAAAACTAGATAGGAATTTGTTAAAAATCTTTGTGTTCTTAGATTATAGCCCTAGAAAACAATGACGAAACCAGGCTATGCTTTTAACTCACTTTTCTGATTCAACTATTTTCCATTTAGTATGTTCAATGCTATTTATCTATAGATCTATTAACAGATAAGCAACCTTTAATCTTTCATTCCTATATAGAATTCTTCAATTTTGTTCATTTTTGTATGTACTGATAGAGCAATCAAAACAGGCTACATGCTATATGAAGTCTTCTTAAAATCAAAGGCAGACACAACAACCAAATTCAACCCCACAATTCTTAGTTCATTACTGACACCAACATTTACAGTAACAAGGATTATATCTACGTCATATACAACCAATATATTTTCCACAACTTATTCATCCTTCTGCTGCACCCCCTCCATGCCAGTGGTCAAAGTCTGCCTGCACTACATTTCTTTGTACTGTTTTTCACATCAAAGTACTCATTTGACTTCTAGACCTATTGTACTTCCTCCATTTTATTTCATCAATTATATACTGTCTTTCAGGTTGGTTTCTATCCTTTTGATTCCAATTTTTCCTAATTACTTATATAGTCATTATCTCTTCCCCACTGATTATAGCTAAAATCACTAGAGAAAAATGCAAAAAAACAAACTACCTGAGAACTGGGAAAATAACTAATAGATAACTGGGGCAGAAAGTAAAAAACTTGGAAGAATGACCAGAATAGTGCAATAAATGGGATAAGTGGAAAGGCACCACCAGTATAAGAGCTGTGCTGGAGTTGACGAGTTACTACTGGCTAATTGTGTGAC